TATTAACCATGTGTGTTTTCATTCCTGTGAATTGCTCATCTTGATGCTTCCCAGTTGTCTTTACATCTAGGTGTCCACACATAAAATGATAATGCGTTGTATAAAATGCTAATATTTGTATATCATCCTAAGGTAAAGGGATTTGGCAGCTCGTCACTCTGAAGTGACCAGCCCAGGGGCTTCTGGCTGCCCTAGGCCCTACCTCTCTGTACCATCTGGACACTCCAGGCCCTGTTCTTAGCGTCTGCTCAATTTCCTATAGTTTGTCATATTTTCCTTGCTGATTTACAGGAGTCTGTTGTATATATTCTATATGTTAATCCTTTGTCAGTTTTACATCTCGCAAATATCTTTCTTGCTGACATTCTCTAGGTTTTTGTTAATGGTTTTATTGAATTTAAACAAAGGGTTTCCTGGCCTGAAAAGGGGGAGAAGAAAAGACAACCACCAGTTTAAACATTCTGCTTCTAATTCACCTTTTGCCATCATCAGTATGAGACGGGCTCGTCTTTTTGATGCAACATGTATTTATTAAGCAGCAGCTACGTGCCGGGGACTGTGTTAAACTCTGGGGATATAGCCGTGAACAAGACAACCATAGTCATCATTCTCATATTTCTTGAATCATTTTCAAAATGTTTATCAGGTCTCCTGTCAGGCCTCAGACTTCCAAGCAAAACAATATGAAATCTCTAGAAAGTCAGAGCTGAATGGGGCCCTGGAAATAGTGTTTTGATATATGTGATGTATAGAAATTTGATATATAGAGATGGAGACACTGAGGTCCAGACTTGTGAGGGCCTCTCCCTAAACTGTTTTCCATACCTGGGCGACCCATAAGTTTTTCTGTTCATCCTTATTTCCCTGAGGTCTTTGGGATTTTCCCTGGAGATTATGGTTGTGGTTTGTATTCCGTATCAAAGCACTAATTCTAGCTTAATGCACTAGATCTAGACTTCTAGATAAACCCTTGTGGGTTTGATAGCAGTTAAATAAGTAGGCAAACTTCCTTGACTATTTTTATTTGTTTGTTTGTTTAATTATTTATTTATTATGTATTGGTTTCGTGTGTACAGCTTAGTGGTTAGATAATCATATACTTTACATAGTGTTCCCTCCATATTTCCAGTACCCTATCTGGCATCAAACATAGTTATCACAATATTATTGACTGTATTTCCCATTTCCTCGACTATTATCATGGAAATGCCAGAGCTAATTCATGCCGATTGTGATTGATTTCATAACTCCCACGGTACTCTTAGGTGCCCTGCGACCTGCCTTCCCACCATGCCCATTCTGCTCCTAGGAGGCAGAGGTGAGGATCTCAGAAACTACCTCTGTTGAATCAGTTCATACCCATTGTCATATCACCCTGTTCTCTCTTCCCATTCAGATGGAGTTCAAGGGTATTCAAAGCTTGCTTGACAGTCAGAGCCACCGACCCCTTCCTCTGTCTGTGCCCTGTGCCAGACCTTCAGAGGCCCCCTGAGTCTTTCCCACGACAAACAGCCCTGGATCCTTACTCCGCTCTTCATGGTGTTGCATTTCAGGCCCCTCTCTACCCTGCTTACTCCCCTCTGGCTCTCTATCCCTCTCTCCAAGTTCCTTCGAAAAGAGGACTCCGAACTGAACGCTGTTCTCCTACAGTGGTGGAGCTACCTTCTGATGTCTCTCCTGCCACGCTCTCAATCTGTTCCTTCTTTATTTCCCTATTTTAAGCAGAGGTTTTATTTTTGTTCTTGAACCTCACTATATATAACTTGATTTTTATTTCTTTAAGCACACTCAGTTTTTCCCTGACTTAAAATGGCATTCATTTTGGCAGTCACATCCCACAGCCAGCTTATCTTAAACTTACATACCCTTAAAAATGAGTGAATGTGCCCTGGCCGGTTTGGCTCAGCGGTTAGAGTGTTGGCCTGCGGTCCAGAGAGACCTGGGTTCTGTTCCCGTTAAGGGCATGTACCTCGGTTGCAGTTTGTCCCCAGCCCTGGATGGGTCATGCGGGTAGCAGCCACTCGATGTGTCCCTTTCACGTTGATGTTTCTCTCTCTCTGTTCCTCTCTCTCCCTCCCACTCTGTCTGAACAGAAAATGGAAAAATGTCTTCGGGTGAGGATAAAAAAAAAAAATGAGTGAATGAGAAGAGACAAATATTGATTGACCCCCCTAAGCCAAACCTCCTTTCATCATTGCTGTGGAACATTTGATAGAGTTACCCGGTCAGCCAAAGGAAGGGAATGAAAAATGAAAGCCAGACTCCAGAGTACTAGTCATCTCTCCTGGCCTTTCTCCCTCGAGAAGCCTAGGCAGCTCTGAGTTATAAGTGCTGAGGGCAACATTTTGTGGTGCTCCACCTACTCCCATATTCTTATGTCCCATCTCATTTTCCTTGATAAAGGCAGTTTCAATTAGTTGTACTCCCTTCAGCAAGTCACATGTATTAAACACAAGGGCTAGAGATTTTGAGAGGACATTGGATTTTCCTTGATAATATTGTGCTCAAGGCAACGTTCCTGATGCTGTATTTTCTTTATAGTCTGTCAGAAAGTTTGCCCCCATTTTTTTAGTTCCAGAAATAATTAAACAAACGGCATTAGAGGAAGTTTGGAAGTAGGAACAAAATCAACTAGAATCCACCAAATTATAAGAAAACTATTTGCACTTTTGCATAATTTCTTCAAATATATTTATATGTATAAGTATTTACAGAGTTCTAATCATAGTGACATACCATTCTGTGTCCTTCTTTTTAACCTTATATCATAAACACTTCTCCATGTTTCTAGATAATCTTCGTAATCATTATTTTTAATGGCCACATAATATTCCATCGAGCAAAATATACCAGAACGTATTTATAATCTAGCATTAGCTTCAAAGAAAAACCGTTTACAAAGCACCCTAGGGTCCCACCATCCTATGGGCAGTTACATTTCTTCTAATACATAGCTTAATCTTTACATGCTACAACACACATGATGTAATAGAAAGAAAACGACGTCCTTGACAATGAATAGCATATTAGGGAATTGGGAAGCTTCACTGACATCTCTATCTATTCTTTCTTTTCCAGAGCCCACTTTTTCTTCTTTGTCATTTCTGTTATTTCCATACTGATGTTGAGATCTAGTATCCTTGCTGCACTTTGGGGATTTGATGATAATTGTTCTTTCCCTGAGACCTTTTAAATGGGAACAGTGAACACAATTATTAAGTACTTCCTGAACTGGCTTCTGAGGGTAAATGAGCCATCCATAATGGCTTCTTCTATTTCCCCAATGTGGTCACTCACTGATACCTACTACTTACCTGACATGACATGCTGATGTGACATTGTCACCAGTTTTTCTCAGCTGTGCTCACAGGCCTACCTTAGGGAGCAGTGGGAGCAGGGGTGAGGAAATCTCTGCCTCCTTGCCTAATGTCAAGATGTAGAAGTTCCTACCAGGTGATATGCTCACTACTGTCCCTGCTTCACTGTAGCTCAGATACTTCCAGATATGATAGGGTGAGAAAGGGAAAGAGAGAGGGAGGAAGTGAAGGAAGAAATAAAAAGGCAAACAAACCCTGGGAGGTAAGATATTTGGCAAGGAGGGGCCTATAGGAGTTTATTACCCATCTCCCCGTTAGTCAAGGAAGGCTTTCTAGGGAGGCAGAATTTGGAGAGCTGTTCCAGTCAAGGTAGTGGAGCTGAAAGAGTATTTTGGGAATAGGTGGCATGTTATTCCTGGTCAGGAATTGGATATTAATGAACGTAGAACATCTTGATCATGCCAGTCAATGAAGGCAGCCACCATTAGTTAAATAAATGCCAACACAGGCACAGCCGATTCATGTGCATAACTGTTGAAATACACTTTAGAAATACCCTTAATAATTAATGGCTGAATTGGCGTGTTCGAAGAGAGAAGGGAAGTGAGATTTTGGTAGAGGTTGGTAAAGGGCTTTGAAGCCAGGGATCAGGATCTCCGGGAGTATGCCTAGATGACCTAATGGAAGCCATGCTAGGGGAGATAAAGTGGAAGTAGGGACAGGCCGGAAGTGGTAAGTCAGTCACTACAATGCTTATTAGGCGCTTAAAACTTAAGAAAGGTGTTATAAAAATCACATTTAGCTTTCACATGGAAGCAAGTCACCACAGTTCATTCTCACCAATAATTTCACCTGCTAATTATTTCTACCAAGGACAGTGGCCATCAGTTAAAAATGTACATCAGTAAGTTCAAAATGGAAAACTGTGGCTGTTTTTGTTTGTTTGTTTGTTTTTGTTTTTTTCTCCCCCACCCCTAACTTCCACGTGCCCTGAGGCTGGTTGTGTTATCTCAGTGCTCTGTCATTAGACCAAGAATCTCTTTCATTGATTCTTTGCTTTCATCAATGGCTAGCTGTGTTAAATCATCTGTTTATTCACAAATGTGTTCTGAACACTTACTCTATTAAAAATGTGTACCTCCACACCTGTGCACTAGTTGGCAGGGCTCATCCGAATGATTTCTCCTGGCTGGCTACCATCGATGGCTAAGGCATTGCTTTGAGGAATGGTTTGGTTTTGTCAATTCCTGTTCCTTTTTGGGAAGTTTCCTGCTGGGGCCTCTGTTGCCAAATCGCTGTTAATGTTGTGAAGATCATTTGAATTGGTCCTATAAGAAAGAACTTGAGAGAGATGAATAGATCCAGCTAAACCAGTAACTACGAAAATGATGCAAATGTTTGTGATCAACCAGCTTCTGAGAGAGGGCCCTAGGACCTTTGGGGTCCTTGTCATAGAGAATGGCAGCCAAAGCTTTATAATCTGGAGTCTTTGTACTCCGAAGACCTTTGCTTGAGATCCAACTTTCCTAATTACTCACTAGTGGAGTGGCTTCCTCCTCTGAACCTTAATTTCCTCATAGGGAAAATGTAAATGATTATTCCCTGTCTACTTCATGGAACTGACATGAGGCTCCAAGGGCTTAGGAAGTAGTGGTAAAGCCTGGGCTTTTCCTTTGTCTGCAGGGCTACCTGAAGCAATGCAGAAAGAGAAGGGACATGTTCAGCGATGAGCAACTGAAGGTCATCTTTGGGAACATTGAAGACATCTACAGGTTTCAGATGGGCTTTGTGAGAGACCTGGAAAAACAGTACAACAATGATGATCCCCATCTCAGTGAGATAGGACCCTGCTTCCTGGAGCACGTAAGCATCTTTCTCTCTGGGGAGGGTTTTGAGAGAGGTTAAAAAAGAAAGACTCATGGACAGTGATTACCAGAGGGAATGGGGGTGGGAGCAGGTAGAAGAGGGTAAAGGGGGGGATAAATGGTGATGGAAGGAGACTTAACTTGGGGTGGTAAACAATACAATATACACATAATGCATTGTAAAATTGTATACCTGAAACCTGTATAATTTTATTAACCAGTATCACCCCAATATATTTAATAAGGAAAAAAAAGTTTAAAAAAGGAACATTGGAAGGAGTGTCTGAGCTGTCTGGTCCTGCTCAGCTGCTTTGTCCTGTGGTAGGGGATGGATTCTTCTCTGAGTTTGATGCTGACAACTTTGCCAGAGCATGAGGACTTAGGAAGGTGCTGTGATTTGGACTAGGACTCTCTTTCTTTCTGTTTTTAATATTTGTTCTTTATTGATTTTAGAGAGAGAGGAAGGGAGAGGGAGAGAGAGATAGAAACATCGATGAGAGAGAACATCGATCGGCCACCTCCCTTCATGCCCCCCACTGGGGATCAGGCCCACGCCCTGGGCATGTGCCCTGACCAGGAATTGAACTGGTGATCTCTCGGTGCATGGGTCTACGCTCAACCACTGAGCCACACCGGTTGGGACTCACTTTCTTTCCATTTCCCCTTCCTTTTCTCTCTCCTTCCAGAGGATCACCAGTAGGATTTTTCTTGAGTTTCTCTTTTGTTTTCCTGTTGGGTTCAATTGCTATGGGACCCAGTGTTTTGGGAAGGACTCTGAAATTATTCACTACATGGAGAATCCAGGAATCTGAGTAATAGAAGAGACCATGGTCAGCATGAAAATAGGTCTCTGTGAGGCATTTAGGGGAGAGCAGTAGGGCAGGAGAAGTGGCATGTGTAGGAAAAGAGGCCACATAACTTAAAGGAAGGAGCACTAGGAAACAGGAAAGGGAGGATTTGAGTCTTGTGTCTGCAGTGACTATCTGAATAACTTTGGATGAGTCCCTTACCTTCTTTGGGCCTCCTCATCTGGAATATAAGAAGGTTCACTCTGTCCCCCTGTGGTCCTCTAACATCTTTTTGGTCTCAGTCACAGCTGACCTAGTTGTTTTGACAATTCTCTTCCCCCATTTTATAAGGGGTATTTTTTTAAAGGGGTAACGTGCACATGATACAGATTTCAAGTGGCACATAAAAATGGTGCAGCTAAAAGTAAGCCTTCTTGCAAACTTTCCTGCTGTGCTTATGTATATGTGATTTGGTGATTTGCTTGAAGGACCCACAGGACTCAACATATAGTTATACTCATGGTTATGATTTATTAAGCTAAAGGATACAAAGCAAAATCAGCAGAAGGAAAAGGCACAGGGGATAATGTCTGGATGAAACCAGGCTCAAGTTTCCAAGAGTCTTCTCCCAGTGGAGTCACACAGGATGCACTTAATTCCCCTTGCAATGAGTTGTGACAGTAAATATGAAATATTGTCTACCAGGGAAACTCATTAGGGACTCAGTGCCCAAGCATTTTCTGGAAGTCTGATCATGTAGGCACCCTCTGCCTAGCATGTACCCAAATTCTAGACTGGCAGAAGGAAAGGGGGCATTCAGTATAAACCACATTGTTTATATAAACAGTTTACACTCAGTGAGCCACTATTGTCAGGGAACAGTGAGAACCCTCTTGAGATCCAAGTTCAAATATGCCAGTCAAGTTCAACATTTCAAATAGGTTTTGCTAAGGATAGCAGCCTCAGGCCTGACATGTTAGCTCTTTTCGGCACAGTATTTAAACTGCTTCAGCTGTTCCAGAAAGCACACGGGAAGTATTTATCAAAGTTAAGCATGTGTATGACCTAGTGGTTCCATTTCTGAATATGTATCCCAGAGAGGTTCTCCCCGAGATCCACGAGGGAGCGTTTACAAGGCTGTTCGCTGCATGGCAGTGTAATGTGTGGTGGAGTACAATTAGAAGCAATTTAAGTATTTATCACCAAGGGATGGATAAGAAACAGATAGGAGATGCTTGCTATGGGGTATTATGTAGCAAGAATCAACAGAGTAGATGTATGAATCTTACAGCAATGCGTATAGACATCATAAACATAGTGTTGAGAGGTAAGTAGAATATAGAATATTGGTACTCAGTTGAAGCCTGCCCTGTGCATTGTAGGCTGTTTAACAGCATTTCTGGTCTCTACCCACTGGATGCAGTACCAGCTCCCACAACCCAGTTGTGATAACCAAAAATGACTCCAGACATTGTCAAATATCACCTGGAGATCAAAAAGAACCACTGATCCATTGAAATGATCATATGCTGTTACCCTTTAACCTGTAAATATGGTGAATTTGGATTAATTTTCACAATAAATGATAGTTACATCCCTGGGATAAACCCTAACTAATCATGGTGTTTTATCTTTTTAATTTAAAAAAAAATTAATTTAATTTTTTTCATCACCTTTTATCCCCTCTACCACCTCCACCTGTCCCCCTCCACCTCTACAATCACCATACTGTTGTCCATGTCCATGAGTTCGCTCCCTTTTTTTTCCTTTTTTGCTCAATCCTCCCCATACCCCAAGCTGTCAGCCTGCTCTCTTATCTATGAGTCTGTCTCTATTTTGCTTGGCAGTTCAGGTTTTTCATTAAATTCCACATATGAGTGAAATCATGTGGTACTTGTCTTTCTCTGACTGGCTTTTTTCATTTAGCATAATACTCTCCAGGTCCCTCCATATCATCTCAAAGGGTAAGAGATCTTTCTTTCTTACAGCTGCGTAGTGTTCCATTGGGTACATTTACCACAGCTTTTTTATCCACTCATCTACTGATGGGTACTTGGCTGTTTCCAGATTTTGGCTATTGTAAATAACACTGCAGTCTTTTATTTTTTGGAGTATCTTGCCTTGAAAAAACTTGGATTGTTTACCCTTTTATTATTTAGTTCTAGGATTTCATTTTTTTTATCAGCTTTTTAAGGTATAATTTTTATCCTCACCCGAGGACATTTTTGCATTTATCTCCAGATAGAGCGGGAGGGAGAGAGGGGGGAAGAGAGAGAGAAAAACATCAATGTGACAGAGACACCTCGAGTGGTTGCCACCCACACAACCCCAACCAAGGCCAGGGACAAACTGCAACTGACGTACGTGCCCTTAGCGGGAACCAAACCTGGGTCTCTCTGGTCTGCAGGCTGACGCTCTAACCGCTGAGCAAACTGGTCAGGGCTTAAGTGTATAATTTGGTGAATTTTTTTTTTTATCCTCACCCGAGGACATTTTTCCACTTTTGTTCAGGTAGAGTGGGAGGGAGAGCGAGGAAGAGAGAGAGAGAACATCGATGTGAAAGGGACACATCGAGTGGCTGCCTCCTGCATGACCCCACTGGGGCCGGGGCTGGGACCGGGGACGGGACCAGGGACAAACTGCAACCGAGGTATGTGCCCTTAGCGGGAACTGAACCCTGGTCTCTCTGGACCGTAGGCCAACGCTCTAACTGCTGAACCAAACCGGCCAGGGCTAATTTGATGAATTTTAGCAGATGTATCTATCATTATAATGAAGATACAGAACATTTATATCACTTCATCAAGTTCTCTCATTTTCACTTTATAATCAATCTCTGCTCCCACCCATGACCATTGGCAAGCACTAATCTGCTTTCTGTTACCCTAATTTTACCTTTTCTAGAATGTCCTATAAGTGGAATCATATAGTAGTAATTGTTTGTGTTTAGGTTTTTTTCACTGAACATAATACCTTTGATATTCATCCATGCTGTTGAATGCATCAGTAGTTGGTTCTTTTTATTGCTTAGTAATATTCCATTGTGTAGTTTATTCCAGGACATCTGAGTTATTTACTAGGTTGTTTACATCTGTGGGATTCCTAGATTGCATGGTAAGTGTTTGTTTAACTTTATAAGAAATTAACAAACTATTTTTCAAAGTTGCTATACCATTTTGCATTCTGAATTCAAATATATAAGAATTCTAGTTGCTCCACCTGGTTGCCAGCATGTGGTTTTATTAATATTTTTTATGGTAGCTGTTCTGATAGGTGTTTAGTGGTATTTCATTGTGGTTTTAATTTACATTTCCATAATGGGTAATTTGAGCATATTTTATGCACTTATTTTCCACCTGTATAAACTCTTTGATGAAGTGTTTGTTTATGTCTTTTGCCTATATTTAAGAAGATTATTTGTTTTCTTACTGTTTAGTTTCTGGAGTTCTTTATTTATTCTTTTTATAAGTCCTTGGTCACATATATGATTTGCAAAGATTTTCTTCCAGTCTGTATCTTAGTCTTTCATTTATTTAACAGTGTCTTTGAAAAGCATAAAATTTTAATTTTGTTAAAATCCAATTTATAATTATTTTTCTTTTATGGTTCATATTTTTGGTGGTCTTATTTAAGAAATCTTTGCCTAATCCAAGGTCACAAAAATTTAGTCTATTTTCTTATAAGAGTTGTGTAGCTTTATTTCTTATATTTAGGTCTATGATCCTATTTTGAGGGAATTTTTATAAATGGGGTAAAATAAAGGTCAAAGTTAATTTATTTTCATGTTGATATCCAGTTGTTCCAGCACCATTTGTTGAAAAACTATTAATTCCCCCATTTAATTACCTGGGCACCTTTGTAAAAAATCAAGTGAACAGACATGTTTTAGGGGCATGAGTCTGTTCCAGTGATCTATGTGACTGTTCATAAACTAATACCACACTATCTTTTTATTGTGGTGGTGATTGTTTTATTAAGATTTAATTGACATATGACATTATATTAGTTTCAGGTGTACAACACTATCATTCAGTATTTGTATATATTGTGAAATGATCACAATAAGTCTAGTCAGCTTTCTTTTTTTTTTTTAAAATCCTCACCCGAGGACATTTTTTCCATATTTTGTTCAGATAGAGTGGGAGGGAGAGAGAGAGAGAGAGAAACATCGATGTGAAAGGGACACATCAAGTGGTTGCCACCCGCACGACCCAACCAGGGCCGGGGACAAACTGCAACTGAAGTACGTGACCTTAGCGGGAACCGAACCGGGGTCTCTCCAGACCGCAGGCTGACGCTCTAACCGCTGAGCCAAACCGGCCAGGGCAGTCTAGTCAGCTTTCATCACCATCCTTTTTTTTTACAAAAAATTTTTTTTGCTCATACTGTCTTGAGTAATGCAGCTCCATAGCACGTCTTGAAAGTAGGTAGCATATGTCCTCCAAATTTATTCTTTTTCAGATTCATTCTTTCTGGCTATTTTAGATAATTTATATGTCTATATAAATTTATCTCATCACAATTAAAATTTTTATCTTCTTTTTATTGTATCTATATGAAATGATGGATTTTAACTAAACCTACTGTGGCGATTGTTTCACAATATATGTAAATCAAGCCATCATGCTGTGTACCTTAAACTTGTACAGTAACATCTGCCATTATTTCTCTATAAAACTGGAAACAAATTTAAAAAAAGAATCATTTTGCCAAGTTGTACCAAAAAGCAAAAACAAATAAACAAACAAAAAACCCTGTCAGCATTTTGCTTAGTATTGCATTAAATCTGTAGATCAATTCTGGGAAAATTGATGTTTTCAGTTCCATGAACATCTATTTATCTATGTAGGTTTTCTATAATTTCTCCTAGCGTTATTTCTAGTTTTCATTGTATAGGTCTGACCTTATTTTTAAAAATTGATTTCTAAGGATTCAATTTTTGTTGCTATTATAAATACATTTTTATTTGACTTTCCTATAGTTTGTTGATTTGATATAGGAAAACAATTGATTTTTGTATATTGTCTTTGAATCGTGACACATAACTGAATTTACTAATTGGTTCTAGTATTTTTTTTATAGATTCCTTAGGATTTTATACATACACAACCATGTCATTTCTGAGTAAAGACAGTTTTATTTCTTCTTCAATATGTATGCCTTCTATTTCCTTGTTCTTATCTTATTGTATTGACCAGATTCTTCACTACAGTGTTAAGTAGAAATGATAAGAGAAGGCATCTTTTGTTTTGTACATGATCTTAGGGGCAAGAATTCAACATTGAAAATGGTATTAGCTTAAGCTTTTTCATGGTTGCCTTTTATCACATTGGGGAAGTTTCTTTCCATTCCTAGATTGCTGGTGGCTTGTATTATAAATGTATTTTTTCAAATGCTTATTATGCATTTATTTAAGTAATCATATGATTTCTCTCCTTTAATCTGTTAATGTGGAAAAATGAATTTAGATAAGTCTCTCATGGTGTAGTATTCTTTTAATTGCCTGTTTTTTTTATTATGTTTTTCTTTTTCGTGTGCTTAATTTTTTATGATTAAGTTCTAGGATTTCTTTGTATATATTGCATACAAGTTCTTTATTAGATACATTTTTCTCATTTTTTTCATCTGTGTGGCTTGCTTATTTAGTATTTTTAAAAAATAATACTTTTTAAAGTCTATGTGTAATAACTCCATCTTGATTTTTTTTGTATCCATTTATATTGCCTATTATTTCTCTTAGGTTTTGTTTATGAATCAGGTAATCTTTGTATGAGTAATGAACAGTGTATAAGAAAATTTGTAGAGGTTTTTTTTAAACTTGGAAGTAATTTCAAACTTAAACTTTCAGAAAAGTTGAAAAGTAAGAACAGTACAAAGAACATTAATATACTGTTTACCCAGATTCTCCTATTGTTAACATAACATTTCACTGTTTTAACTTTATAATTTGAATATGCTCTCCCTCTCTCTCCTTACTCTCCCCTCTTCCACCTATCTATGTGCATAGTTATATATACACATACATATACTCATATATTTTTTCCTTAGCCATTTGTTTAACTTGCATACATCATGACCTCTTTACCACTAAATACTCCAAGGTGTGTATTTCCTAAGTGATATTCTGTGGAGACAGTTTGAGTCTCTGGATGATGTGATTTCTTCAAAAAGGAATTATTATGGTTTTCTAGCTTTTCTCAGTGGTAATATTTATGTAAAAAATTTAGTCCACCATTGCCACAAATAGAACGTTTAAAGTTGTATTGCCATAACGTGTATTCCTATTGTGAGGACCAGTCTCCCCTCACCACCCTTCTTTTAGAGAATTTCCTTACTATTACTACTTAATTATTTTTCCACATGAAGTTTTACAATCATTTTTTCTAGTTTCCAAATAATTATTATTATTTTTTATTTTTACATTATGAATCCATTTAGGGAAGCTTGAGATTGTTATGTTGATATTCCTGCATAACAACAGGGTCTCTTTTTCTATTTCTCCAAAACTTCTTTTGGAGTCCAGCAGCCTTTCACTCTCTCTTTATTTCTTCTGCTCACAGCAAGATGGGTTCTGGATATACTCTGAGTACTGTAACAACCACCTGGACGCCTGCATGGAGCTCTCCAAACTGATGAAGGACAGCCGCTATCAGCACTTCTTTGAGGCCTGTCGCCTCTTGCAACAGATGATCGACATTGCTATTGATGGCTTCCTTTTGACTCCAGTCCAGAAGATCTGCAAGTATCCCTTGCAGTTGGCTGAGCTCCTCAAGTATACCGCCCAGGACCATAGGTAAGGGATCAAGGGAGAGAGGAGTGAAGGAGAAGCCTCCTCTACATGGTGGGCCTTACTGAGAATGTATGTTCTTTTTCCTTGTCTTAGCTTCTCTTAGCTTATTTGTACAGTGGTATGATTATATATTCTTGCTTACCTCACAGGGCTGTTGTGTGTATGAAGTAAGGGAAGGCTTATGAGAGTTACTTATAAAGTTGTAAATGAGCGTGTGCACAAAATCGTTATTGTACAACTTAGACCCTGCCTTCAGGGAGCTTATAGTCTGGTCCTTAGTCCTGAGTTTAGCCAAGTGATTCAATCCAGATGGAATAATTGTTCAGCTGTTTATTCTACTCTGCTTGATAGATTTAAATATTTTGCTAACAATCTACCCAACTATACCAACCTTAGATTTTTTTTCTGCAAGGCTAAATCCTTGGTTTTCTTTATCTTTTCTACCCTGTTCTGCCTCATTCCAACTGTACCTTCCCCTTATCCTGAACATACCGGGGGGAAATAGACTTGAGGCTTCCCCTGAATTTTTTTTCAAAATTTTTCAGTGTTTTCAAGGAAACCAACTCAAAATGGACCAAGGACCTTATCTCTCAGAATGGAAATGACACCCTTAACCCCCTACCAGTAAGGTAACCCCCGTACCGGTAAGGGATTCATCTGCAACAGTAGGGATGGTCTACAGTGAACTACCCCCTACTCTTTCACATGTTGTCCTTCATGACCTAGAGTCCCAGCCTGTTGCTAGACTGCCTGTAATTGGTATTGAATCCCTGACTGCAGACCAGCTGGCCCAGCTCTCTGCTTTCTTCCTGATGGAGCACTCCAAGAAGAAAGAAAGCCTTTGCCCAATTTTCTTTAGTTTCCTGCCTGATTCGTATTAGGCCTGCTTCCTACTTTTATTTGGCTCCATTGCTTGGGTTCCTTGGATCTGTCTTCTAGACCTAGTTGCATAAGGCCATGGGTGTTGGCCAGTTGGTTTTGTTTATGTCAAACTTTAGGTCAATCCCTGGGTTCATTTTTAAGTTGATGTTGTTCTTCCAAGCAAACCCTGGTCATGTGCTTCAGTGGTTCTGGGGCCCTGGACAGAGTTCAGATATGAATCCACATACAGTGACACTGGACTCTCCCTTTGTGTGAATAACAACACCAGTGGTAATTCTGCCTCCTATGCTCTCTTGGCCATGAGGGAGGCAGGTAGAGAAGGACCTTGCAAAGGAGGATTCTGCTTTCTCCTCCCTGAGTCAGTTTGCTAGCTTGGGAGTGGTGGGAATACTCGCTAGACATGAAATTTGGAGGTGACTATGTCTCACTTGAAAAGATTTAATACAACCCATTGTCAGAACTGAGTCCCAAGTTTTCTAAGGACATGGTTTCTTATGAGAGTTAATAGGACACTGAAGAACCCCCGCTAAAATTAAGATATTTAAAAAATAAAAAGGGAAATATTTATAGCAATTATAATGGAAAGACCCTTAAAGGATGGTCTTCTAGTCAGATTTCCTCCTTCTGTGGCTGGAGAGACTGAGGCCCAGACAGGGAAAAGACAAAGAGCAAGTCTGTGGGAAAACAGGAACGCAGATTGTGGACAGTGGTCTGAGAACCTAGCCTTTTATTTAAACTGTAGTCTTTTTTTTTAATCCTTACCCAAGGACATTTTTTTCCATTTTTTGTTCAGACAAAAAATGGAGACAGAGGGGAGGGAGACAGAGGGAGAGAGAGAGAGAAACATCGATGTGAAAGGGACACATTGAGTGGCTACTACCCGCACGACCCCAACCAGGGCCGGGGACAAACTGCAACCAAGGTATGTGCCCTTAGCGGAAACTGAACCCAGGTCTCTCTGGACCGCAGGTCGACGCTCTAACTGCTGAGCTAAACTGGCCAGGGCTATAGTCTTTTTTTAAATCCTCACCTAAGGATATGTTTATTGATTTGAGAGAGAGAGAGAGAGAGAGAGAGAGAGAGAGAGAGAGAGAAAGATCATTGTGAAAGAGAAACATTGATTGGTTGCCTTCCATATGTGCCCCAACCAGGGGTCGAACCCACAACCTAGGTATGTGCCCTGACCTAAAATTGAACCCACAACCTTTTGGTGTACAGGATGGTGCTCCAACCAACTGAGCCACTCATCCAGGGCTGGGAACTTAGCTTTTTAAAGAGCCCTCCAGGTGATTTCCATGCCCAGGGAAGTTTTTGAGCCATTATATTAGCCAGTCTGCAGCGTGTCTTCCAGTTCTGCTAGCCCATTTTGTCATGAGCCTAAATGACCTCTGCAGTTATACTTCATGGTGTTAAACTGCCAGAAGCAGCCAGTATTGTACCCAAACCTCAGTGTAGTAGCCTCCAGACCAGTAGTTTGAGAACTGGGATATTGGAAGATGGTTCTCAGACGTTTTCTATCACAGTGTATTTCCCACCTGCTCCTGAGTATCTTGTTCATGGAACCGGACTGGAGGCTCTAAAAATCATACTTGCTGAATGATGGCATCAACTGGGTAAATTAGATACTACACATTGCTTTTAAGAGCCCAGAAAGACAATTTTCAAGGCACAGCAAAAAAAGCTTTGTTGTTTCTTAGATCAAAGCAACCTTAGGGCCTTACCGAGTTTAGTGGGAACCAGTTAGATAGGTCGCCTGCCTGGGATTCGCCATTCCTGTGCTCCTTCACCTTGTGACTGGAGCCCTGCCTCAAGGCCTTCTTTCCTTCTGGGTCCCTGGTCCCCTCTCCTACCCCCAGGGATCAAGAGTTCTAAGAGAATGGCTCAGGCACTGGTAGGCTACCTTAGTCCCTGTCTTCCTTCGGCATGACCTGTTGGGCCCGGCACTACACCCAGGGCACAGGCTACCCTTGCAGCAGGTTCAGGGAGCTGCAGCCAGAGGACAGCTCCTGTGATGCATGTCAGGGTAGCTGGTATTTGAAGGCAATTAGAAGCTGCTGCCAGCTTAAAAGCTTAGGGAGATAGGCGTGAAGATAGGCGGGTCTGAAATGCAGGCAATCAGAGTGGCTGCCGAGGTAGAAGATTAGATGGATGGAGTGATAAATGGAGAACAATGCTACCTTTTTTTACAGAAGGGTGACGTGTCCCCACCCTGCCACTCAACCTTTCTTAAGCTGACAAGAATGAAGAGTGCGTACAAGAGAGAGTTTAGGGGACACATCTGGAATAATGCAGTCTTGCTTCAGTCAGTCTCTTCATTAAGGGCCTGGGCCCAGACCTCATCTGGAGACCTGGAGGCTTTGAGCAGGATCCCAGCTGGGCCATGGCTATTCACTTCTCTCACCCACTCCTAAAGCTAGTGGGGAAGGTTCGAGCTGGGAATATTTCCTCTGTAACCATTGTGAGAAAGGCAGCCAGCTAAAAATAGCAAAGGTGGACTGACAGTATGGCACAGTGGCATTCATGGCTGAGTTGGGCAGAGGTAAGAAGCATGGTGGCTGGCAGAGGTAATAAGCATTCTCATACCAGTGCTGGCCAATAGAACTTTCTACAATGATGTAAAGGTTCTATGTCTGTAGTAGCCACTGGCCATATATGGCTACCGAGTACTGAGAAAAGTAGCTGATGTACCTGGGCAACACACATTTTAATTTTATTTTAATTACATGTAGCTAGTGGCTACCATATTGAGCAGTATAGTTTGATGCTTTACCTTCCAGAAAGTGGCTTAAGGCATTTTCCTGATGCCCCCAAATCAGACAGAGGAATGGCATGGGAGACAGAAACTGGACCCAAAGAACAGGGTTTCTTACTGATGTCAGCGGCTGCTATACTGCAACCACCCCTTCTGTCCTCACCCTATCCTGCTTCTCAATGGCAGGCTCAGATAGTATTGCCAGTGATAAACTTTGGCAATGTTACAGAGCCCAATAGATCCCCCATAGGCTGGATCATCTACTGTAAAAGGGTAAAATGTAACATGAACAAATGTAAAGATTTGCAGTTGTGTTTAAGAAATCAACAGTTCAAGAGATAAACCAAAGACTGCATTATTCCAGATGTGTCCTGATGTGTGCATAGCCAATGGACACAGACAATAGTGTGGTGGAGGGTGGGTTGGGAGTGGGAGCAGGGAGCAGGGAGGTTAATGGGGGTAAAAAAGGAGGGACACCTGAAAATACTTTCTGTAACAAAGATAGGATTTTTAAAAAGAAACAAACAGTTCAACTATAGGTTGAGAGAGATTCAGCTTTCAGACAGCATATTTGAAAGAGACTTAGGAAGCATTAGATGACCATAAGCTCCATATGAGTCAGCAGTAGGATCCAGAAGAAACACTGAGAATAGCTAACATTCCTAACGGCTCAGGATAAAGAATATTTTTTAACAGAATTGTCTTGAGACAAAAAACTGGTTAGGAGGTATAGTAAGCATTATGCACTGGAGGTGATAAGATTCAGTAGTGTTTGAAGACTGTGGTCTGGCAGGTGTGCAGAAAACAAACTGGAGTTAAGGAATAAAAGAATTTACACAGATGACCAAACCCTCAATTAATCCTATTGTAGTTCTCCTCACTTTTTGGGAAACTGAGTCACTGAGAGGGTGACGAGACTTGCCGAAGACCACACCATTAGTCAGTGATGAAACTAGGGTTTGAGCTCAAGCAATCTGGCTTCAGACTCTGTACTAACCATGATTATATGTCCTGTCTCTCTACTGTACAGGAGAAAAGGTCTGGATCTCATTTCACAGTGATTCTGGGCAGTTTCCTAGAAATAGGTGATAGAAGAAATGGTAAAGTTGTCTGGACCACGCCACGTGTGAGGCTCCCTTCTTGGTCCTTGACAGGTTGTATCAGATAGGACACGAAAATAATGGTGTAGAAAAGATAAGGGTCTATTTGTATTTCCTGAAAAAGAAGTCTGCAGGGAGGCAATCCGTGGCTGCCGGGATGGCTCCATGGTCATCAGAGACTTGGGCTTTTTCCAACTCTGTTATCCTATACCTAGGAGTATGGACCTTATCCTTATTGTCCAAGATGGCTGCTAGAACTTGAGCCATTAAATCTACATCCCAAGCATCATGATTAAGGGCTAAAGAAGGGTATGCTGTTTTTCTTAAAAGAGATTTCTCAAAAGTTCTGCTCAACACTGTTATCTACCTATCACTGAACATAATTTAGTCACATGATGACCCCTTGCTGTAACAAAAGGATAGGTAATGTAGTCTTCTACTCCTGTGGCACGACTTCTATCAGAAAACCAGGGTTCTCTTATACTAAGAAAGAGGAGAAAGGATGTTAGGGTTGGCATGTAGCACATTGGTTCTCTGGCACATTGAATCATTCAACTTGTACATTTGTGTCTTCACAGTGACTACAGGTATGTGGCAGCTGCTTTGGCTGTCATGAGAAATGTGACTCAGCAGATCAATGAACGCAAGCGGCGTTTGGAGAATATTGACAAGATTGCCCAGTGGCAGGCCTCTGTCCTAGACTGGGAGGTAGGATCCTTACCAACAGGTATATTGGGGAGTCTGAAGAGCTTAGCCCGAACTTCACATAGCCATGGATGGGTGAAGAGGAATTAGATTTGAAGAGCAGCAGGAAGGATTTAGATTTGAGGCAAATCAAAAGTTTCTGCTAAGGAGAGGTATTGTGTCCTTGAATAACTTTCTAAGAAGGCTGGAGAAATCTTTGTGGCAATGCTTCATTAAGAAAGGAAAGGGTCATCTTTTTTGGTATTGCCAGGAAATAATTGGGTTGACTCAGTAGCCTTTCAAATCTTTTAAGACCTGGAATTTCATCACCACCAGATGAACACTTGGCTGAGGAGTGCTATATGCTAATTCACTCCCAAACACAGAATGCAAGGTTGGTTCTCTGGTGCAGGCCAGCCAACATACTTCTTTTCCTCTTGGAAGGATCACCTCACCCTGACACATCTACTAGGTCTACCCAAGCCTGCCCCCTTCAGGCCATGACTATCATCCCTACCAAACTGACAGACCAAATTCTGTGTTTTATCATCTGCTTGTAAAAATAATCCCTCATAGCCCCATTGCATTGGATCTAGATCCAACCTCTAAGTAATAATCAGTAGGAAACCGCAGGGAGAATGACTGCAGTTTCTGGGGAATTTGAATTTCTCATGTTTCTGATGCTGATATTTGGATGAGCTGCCACTTTACCACCCCTTACACTCATTAGACCCACTTGAAAGGAAGGGAGAAGGAACAAATCCCTGACAGCTGCTTTTTAATCATTCCCCCCCACCCCCGGGAGATTTTTTTTTTTTTTACCAGGAGCCCAAGTTTAGAGCTCATGTTTTGGAACTTGATTATGTATGGTTGTGATTTCCTCCTCATGGAGCCCCTCCCCTCACATCCTGATTATGTAATACCCAAGGGCCTGTCCCAGTTTACCATCAGATGATTTAATCCAATGGAGTTGGAGGAAACACAAAACCCCAACGTGATGGAGGCAGCAAAAGCATCTATTTAGAATCAAAGGTGGCTTGATGAGGCATACTCAGGGGACCAGGAGATTAAATGTGGAGCTGGATGGATTTGTTATTTCTCTGCCCTCTTGTCAGTAAGCAGCATTGAAAATAAACTAGATGAAAAGGATGGCATTTCCGGAGACCACAACCCCCACATCAGAAAATCGGCCTGTAATCAGGATAGGGTGCTGGGCACTGGAATATTGAGATGGGTGAGAGGTGGTCTTGCCTGTCCAGAGGGGGAAATCCATTCCACGCAGAGGGAACAGTGTGAACAAAATTCTGGAGGAGTTGAAGAGGACAGAAGGCCTGTGGGGAAAGGGGTCAGTGGGAAAAGATTTCACTTTTGGGGACAAGGCAAAGAAACATGTGGTAGAAGTGGGACAGAGGAGGCAAAGGGGGAGGGCTCAGAATTCTGATTTGGTGCTCTCAAGCAGCCATATAATGTGAGCCAAACAGGAACCATTGTATTATTCCCATTGTCCAAACGAGGAAACAGATTGAGAGCGGTTAGCCTACTTCTCATGCACACAGAGTAAATTGGTAGCAGCAGTGGATCTAGAACCCAAGACTTCTGAGATTTTCACTTCAGAAAATCTCCCAGGCAGCTGGTTGCTGCTTTAGGATGACAGCATCATTCTACTGTGGTTCAGTGGTTAGAACATGGATTTTGGAGGGAATCTGTCCTGGATTCAGCCACGTTAGAAAAATTACTTAGATTTCTCTGACCTTGGTTTGGAGAGTAATAACAATACATTCCTTATTGTGTTGTTAGAGGTATGAATAGGAATATGTGTATAGCACAGGATACAGGGCATATAGTAATAGTCAAGATAATCGCTTTCACATATGTAGAGCTTATAGTGTGATGTGTACTTTCCTAAGAACTTTATATGTGAATTTATATAACCTTCACAACAGCTAAATGAGGTTGGTATTGCTATTATCCTCATTTTAAAGATGAGGAAACTGAGGTAGAAAGGAATGTGAGTTGCCCAACATCAACACCAACCACCTTGGTGAGCATAAGGAGTGTCTTTTTTCAAAGTTTTGTTTGTTCTTGTTTTGCTTGGTGGAGTTAATGTTATGAGAATAGAATTGGTCTGCTGACTGATCCAGTGGGTAGACCAGATGACCCTGAGTAGTCCTAGTCCTGATCTGATCATTTTCAGTTTAGCAGTGGTGCCTCTAAAAGTAATCTTGGCCATCTTTGTATGACATTGGCCCCTTTTTAAAGCTTTTGTTCACTTCATACATATTCCAAATAGACAGTGGCACATCTTCCTGGCATACCTCAGATGGGACATGGCAGACTGGTACCACTTTCACCTTTCCATTCCTTCAACAGGAAAGGCCTGTACACCTACCTCATTCTGAGGACTTCCTCTCCCAGCCCTGGACCTCTGGGTTCTGTGCTAGTATGTGGGCCCCTCAAGGAGGGGTGTTTATCCAAGTTCTAAGGTATCCCGGGGCTGGAGTCTGGAGTCACAGTAGTAACTCTGAGCTTTCTTTCCGAGGTTGTATTATTAGAAAATATTTCCACTGAGCTCCTCTCTTCCTTTCCAGCTACCACTCTCTTTGGTTCAATGCTGTTTGCCTCTGATTATTTCTGGGATGATACATTGGCCTTCATTTCAACCTTGACTTCAAGCTTTTGTTGGTAGGGCTCAGATCTTAGCATCAGAGTATCAGGGCTAGGAACTTAGACATCATCTTCATACACCTCATTTAACAGCTGGCAAAACTGAAACCCAGGGAGAGGAAGGCACTGACCCTCCAACAATTTTTGGCCTAGAGACAGCATAATGTAATGGTAAGAGTGAGCACATTCTCTGGAGCCCCAGATTTGAGGTTTGGTTGCAGATCTGTCGCTAACAAGCTGAGTGACTTTGGCTGATCACTTGATGCATATGGAACATGGACTATAAAATGAGAGCAAGAATATCTATCTCCAAGGGTAATTGTGCAGGTCAGAAGAGATAGAGTTAAAGTTTGTAACACAATGTCTGACCAATATAGGTGTTCAGTGAGTATTAATTCTCAGTTTCTGAGCCACTGCTCTTTGTTCCCATCTTCACATAGGCCCAGGAGTACACATCCCTGTGCCATGGCTTTGATTTGATTTGCCTTGTGTTCCATGAGTTCTGAGCACACCTGTATTAGTCTCCTCTGCTGGAGATGTCAGCTCCTTGAGAATTGGTGCCAAATTTAACTTGGCATATGATAGATACTCCCACATACCTCAGACGTAGCAGAGTTACCATAAAGAAGGAGCCCTTAGAAACTGTAGAATTAAATGAGTTAGGAATCAGGTCTTGGTGCTTTTTGGTGTGTCTGACTCTACATTGCAAGGAGGAGGAGTGGTTTCTAGCTCCCTGGCTAATAAACCAAAGGAGCATGTGGTCGTGAAGTTTCTTGTTTAATCAGTAGATTTTAATGAACTGAGAGGAGAAGAAAACACTATTGTAAGGGGGTGAGTGGATTCTCTTTTCCTCTATCATCATCTCCTTCTTGCTCTCCCCTGTCCCCTTTTTCTTACCTGGGGATCAGAGAGACTTCTACCACCTATTTCAGATTATTCTTCATGTGCAGAAATGAGTCTAAAAAACTAATGCTAGGATGAAATACTGGGGCAGAGAGAGAGATTCATGGAGAAATAGAGGCAGAATTAGAGAATGAACCTCATGGCAGCTGGTGCCCTTAGAGCCAGAGGGCAACTGACTAGAGCAATTCTAGATGGTCCTGGGGCTCATTTGGCCTCAGGGTGAATGAGAGTAGTAGTCTTTCCAGCTCATGGAGCCTTTCAAGGATCCCCAGGAGTCTCTCCCTTCATCCCTCCTTTCCCACCAATCCTCTGTTCTAATCCTGTCCCAGATTCTGCACAGCCCTAGGTACCTCCAGGCAGGTGATGGGTCCATCCCTCCTGCCTGGCTGCCTCTCACTGTCACATGTCCTTCCCAGGGCGAGGACATCCTAGACAGGAGCTCGGAGCTGATCTACACTGGGGAGATGGCCTGGATCTACCAGCCCTATGGCCGCAACCAGCAGCGGGTCTTCTTCCTGTTTGACCACCAGATGGTCCTCTGCAAGAAGGTAATCACACCCTCTTCTTCCCTGAGCGATATGGGCACTTCAGGGGGGCACCAGCCCCTCCCTCTTTATCATCCCCAACTCTCAATAAAGTGGCTAAAACCGATGGGTGAAAAACAGACAGGATATTGGCAGCAATTTCATACTGGGATTACTGGTAGGGCATGAATACCACAGGCAGAGCTGGCTTATGGGCATTGAAGCTCTGAAGTTGGTATATTTTTGTCTCAGTATCATTTTTACCAATTGCCCTCCTTCCTTCCATGGTGATCCTTCTCATTGTCTTCCACCCAGAGCTGAGAGCCTACTTACTGGTTTACACCAGTCATTAAAATTTTTAAATATTTCTATCCCAGAACAGTGGTTTCCCTGAGCACTTCCCCCCATTTCCACTCTAATGGCTCCGACCACCTGACTGACCCCTCACTGCCCTAAGAACCAACAAGGGGCCTCCTACCTTTCCCTGAAAGGTATGTGCTTTTGCGGTGCAGGAATTTCTGCTCTGCCCTCACCTGTTTCCTACACAAGTTGTATCACTTCCCTGTAACTCTTGACAGGGCTCGACCCCCAGGAGGGGGCATGCAGGAGGCAGCCAATGGATGTTTCTCTCTCACGTCAATGTTTCTATCTCTCTCTCCCTTCCATCCCCTCTAAAAATCAATAAAAACGTATTTAAAAATAAAAACTTGTAGCTTGATTTAGAGTGTGTGTGTATATGTTTACACACATATGTATTTATATATGTTTATTATTAAATAGAAATTATGGTAGGTTGAAGATGCCAGTGACTTCTAATTATGTGATCCCTTCTTTAACTTTTGCTACCCTCCCTCTTTTCTTGTCACTTTTCTCTTTGTTCTCTTTCTTCTTGTCCTCTATGATGGCTGTCTCTGTTCCTCTTCATCTCATTGCCCTGTTATTTTAGTTATGCATATGTATTGTTATTTTTTTTTTTTTGAGACAATTATAGTGGAAATTATTTTGCTGCCTTGGGGGATTTTTCCCTTTGTTTCATGTTTTCCCTTTCACTTTTTTCTGGGCAAAGGAGGAGAGCCATTTTCTCCTCTCCTCAGTCATTCATCCATTAATGTTGCTACAGCCCAACAGTTGTCTCAAACAGCCTTTTTTCTTGAATCATCTGTCCTTAATTGTACCAGTTTGGACATGCTCTGTTGTCTCCTGTGTCATAACTACTTAGTATTTATGTTGTTTTTATCGTATTCTGGAAGATCAGAACTAAATAGAGTTTAATGATGCTAGAGAGAGAACTTCTTTTGTTAAAGAAACTTTCTGCATTTGGGCCATTTCTTCTTGCACTGATTGGTCAGACTTGGAAGATGAGCCATTTGGGACTACTAAAAATACCAAAATAGCAACAGAGATGAGGATAGAGAGAAAGAAGATGAGGATTTGAAGTCAGAACACCTGGGTCCTAGACTCTGTTGTCTCTTATTAATTTGTCTAACCTTGGGCGTAAATATTTATTTTTCCTCAGTGTTAAATCAGATCTATGATAGAATTTATCTCAGGAGGCTTTGAGAAGAACCACCTAAGTTAGTGGGAAGCAGTGAAGTATATATACTCTTAAGAGTATAGATTCTAGGGACAGACAAGAGGGAACCAATTTCTTTTTTGAGTTGTGTGACCTTGGATAAAGTCTCAGTGCCTATTATTATCTCTTCATTTGAAAAATGGAAATTATAATTATGTCTACATGGAAGGGAAGTTGGGAAGGTCAAATGAGACAATATAATTGCTGTATATGGCACATAGTAAATACATAGTAAATACTAGCCATTGCTACTATTACTGTATATTTACTGTTACTAATCATTTATTCATCAAATTTTTATTGAGAGGCAGTATACAGAAAGTTAAACAAGTGTAGATTCTAGAGCCAGATAGCCTGGACTCAACGCCCAGCTCTTCCATTTAGTAGTTTTTATTCCTGGACAAGTTTATTAACTGTTCTATGTCTACAGTTCTTCATAAAATGGGATAATGACAGTACCTTCCTTGTAGAATTGTAGGATTATTTAAGTTAATAAATTCAAAGCATTTAGCTATTGAGGAATGCATAAAGGAAATATGATACACACAATGGAATATTATAAAGCCTTAAAATAGAAGAAACTCTTGCCATTTCCAACAATGGGGATGAACCTGGAGGACATACTAAGTAAAATAAGATAGAGAAAGATAAATACTATATGATCTCATTTATATGTGGAATTTAAAACAGTTGAACTCATAAAGACAGAGAATAGAGTGGTTGTTGACTGGCTGGTGGGGAGGGGGGAATAGGGAGATATTGGTCAAAGAGTAAAAATTTTCAGTTATGGAGGATGGATACGTTCTGGAGAGCTAATGGGCCAGCATGGTGGTCATAGTTAGTGCTTCTGTGTTGTATTCTTAAAATTTGTTAAGAAAGTAGACCTTAAGTTTTCTCATCACAAATTTGTGGTAATTACTTCACAATGTATATGTATATCAAACATCATGTTGTACACCTTAAATATATACCTCAAGAAAGCTGGAGCCCTGGCCGGTTTGGCTCAGCGGTTGGAGCGTCGGCCTGCGGTACAGAGAGACCTGGGTTCGGTTCCCGCTAAGGGCACATACCTCGGTTGCAGTTTGTCCCCGGCCCTGGTTGGTCGTGAGGGTGACAGCCACTCGATGTGTCCCTTCACATCGATGTTTCCCTCTCTCTCTCTTCCTCTCTCTCCCTCCTGCTCTATCTGAACAAAAAATGGAAAAATGTCCTCAGGTGAGGATAAAAAAAAAAAGAAAAGAAAAGAAAGCTGGAGAAAAATGCAAAGCACTTAGAATAGTGTTTGACACATAAATTATGCTAAATGTTCACTGGTGCATTGTTATTATTATTGTTTTGTTATTAATAGGTATGTACTCTAGATGCTGGAACAAAATAATGAGGAAGATAAATCCAGTTCCAGCCCCATGTACCTTCCCCAAGATCTGGAGAAAAAAAACCAGGGTGACTCAGGCTAGGAGGTAATAACCAGGGCCCCCTCTAAAGAAGTAGAGAGGACCTTATTGACAAGCAGGTGAGGCAGACTACAGTCCTGAACAGTTGCATTCCCCAGATTACATCACCTGTCATTTGCACAAAATGTCCTGCAGTATCTTACTAAACCCAATGAAAACCCAGTGAGTCCAAATTCAAATAGCTCCCACTGTTTCAATTATGTAATATCAGGGATGGGGGTAGGTTCCTTGCTAGAGCTATAGCTAGGGCCAGGGTGCTTGTCTGCAGACCTCTGAGGCTCTCCTGAAGAATTACTAGCTTCCTTAACATTCACCATCTCAGATTACTGAAAGAGAAAAGGAAGAAGGCTGGCATACTATTAAAAACAAACCCATTTAGGCAGGGAACTTGTGGCAACCCAGATAGCACCTGTTGTGAGCACCTATTTTACCATGTCTCAATGAAAACACTTAGCCCACCATTAACACGTAGAATGTGGGCAGCCTGGTCCCAATAGGACCATATGCATCCAGGATTCAGAGAGGTTTGTCACCTTGCTATGAGTAGAAGCTGAGCAGAGAAACCTCTGAGGCTTAGTCAACTGTCCTTCCCTGGATAACTGCTGAGTGAGGCAAGACAAGGAAGGTGCTGTGCTTGGCACAGCTTAAATGGGCAGACAAAACTAAATGCTGTAAAACAGAACAAATGCAGCTCAACAATGTAGTAGCTGAGTGTCACTTGTATATGGGTGTATAGTCTGTGTTAACATTCAGAAAAGGGAAACCACAGTGAGCAGCTAGAGGGTGCAGTCAGAGAGGACTTCTTTAGGGAGGAAGCATGTGTGAATTTGACCTTGAAGGCTGGAAGTGTTGAAATAGCAGGCATCATTGGGGCAGAGAGGAGGTATTAGTGTGAGCCCAATTATAGATCTGTGATTTTGGTGAGTGAGTGGCAAATAATATTTGCCACCTACCACACCATCCCCACTCCCACTCTGAAAGAGTGTGAAATTTCCAGGGATAGTGGGGTAGCCATGTAAAATTTTAAATATTCAGAGTTAACTTTGTTTTGATTTATTTTCGGTCACAATATTAAACTTACCTTGGAAGTTTAAATGAACTAAAGGAAGCATTGAGATTTTTACATTTATCAAAAGGAGTTTTAAAATAATACAAAACATTGGTCTGGGAGCAAGAAAGGTCAGCACCATATATATGAGACAATGCTGGCCTCATTGTAATTGAACACAGGTTTGACTGCCTGATGCAACAAAAGCCAAACTCATGAGACAGGTGCTGGTGAGAAGGAAAGCAGTTTATTCAAGTGCTGGCTACCTGAGAAGATGGGGACTCTTGTCCCAAACCTCTCAATGCAGTCAGGTGTTTTTTTTATTGGGAGGGAGAGGGAAAGCAGAACAAAGAAATCAGGAGGAGAGGGTTTGAAAATTCTCTACATGTAAGTCATCACAGTCCATTCTGATGATTATCTTGAAATAAGTCAAGTGGAGGTACATTTTTATGGTTGATAGTCGGCAAGTCTCCCAGAGCCAAAACATCCAGTTACTGAAGTTAGCCTCCTTCCCCAAAGCTAGTTCCTCGAACTCTCACACAGATATATAGCTTATTCACAGTCAACATATTAGTTAACAATTCATCTTTTATAAAAAACGCTTTTAACAGAAACAATATTGAAAGAATAGAGGGGTGGGTTACATCACGCCCTGGTAACTGTGTGTTTAGATTTGAGATGTACAACCATTTTACAAAGTAAAGATGACTCCCCTCGTTTCATAGATGAGGAAATTGAGGGTCAGAGAGGTAAAGTGGCTTGCCAAGACCACACATCTATTAGTTTAAACTCAGGGCTTTCCACTGTTCCATGCTGCTTTATGGCCTTAACTATACTTTCTGGTTGGATTTTCTGAACAGTGGATAGTTTTTAATAATTTATATCACATCCTTACACTTGGCCTGATGACTAATCTGGTGCCCCAAACCTCATATTCAACCCTCTGGGAAGTCTAAAAGAGCAGGCAAAGGGAGAATATTAATGATACATCTCTTTAGCCCTCTGCCACAGAAACAGAATTCTCTCTAGTTACTTGTTATCCCTAACCCACCCCTCCCCCCAAACACAATAGGAGATTCAGTTGATGCTTTTAATTTTGCTTCAAGATCATATACGTCCTTTTCATTTTTGGAAACTAGTGAAGGTTTTGAAGGCTGACAGTGATCCAACTCAGAGGCAAAGGAAGCTGCAGGCTGAAGTTAGGAATAGAGGGAGGTTGAGACTGCCTTGATCTAGCCTGGTGAGTACCCACCTGTATGGTCCAGACCTGGATCCTTAGGTCTATGTGTATTTGTATTATGTATTGTAAGGCAGGTTTCAAGCCTTTACAAGATCAAACTAGATTATATTGATCCATTCTCATCTTGTCTTCCTTTTGTAGTTCGATTAGCCTGACAGAGCCCACTTTTAATGTATATTTCCAAAAAGTCTTCGTGAGGATGTGGAAGTCAGTGCATGGGAGCCACCCCATTCTTTTGGCTGTACTGAGCCTGTTCACTTTGAGCTTGGTTAAAGGAATCCGCTGTGAAAGAGGCTTGGAGCAACATTTGCCCACTCTGTAGAGCTGACCTCTTCATCTCCTGTGAACTTCATGCCAGGAGCACCCAGCAGATCAGAACCCATCTGTACTCACAGCCTATTTATGTGAATGACTATTTTGGGAGAGAAAAGAACAATGTGGTGGTTATTTTTTGTAAAGCAATTCAACACGATCTGTATTTTCCAGCCTGAGGCTTAAGACTGATAGAGCTATGTTGGAAATCCTTAAGGACAGCTTTCCCCAGCTCTACCAAAAAGTGTGAAGAGTTAAGATTGGGAATGTGGCTGTGGCCAAAGGCAAATCCTTTGCAGATAGTCTGCAGCTGAGAAATGAATCATGCCAGGCAATTCAGTAGAATGGGAATAGTTTAACCAAACCATATAATAATAATAAAAGTTAATGAACATTTCTGACTCTTGTCAGATTGTCTAAAAGTCCTAACAAGAAGACAGGAGGGAGAATTGGCCAGAAAGGGCCCCTGCTACTAATAGAGGACATCTGTCAGGACAGGACTCACTGGGGTCCTCTTTGGCCAGACTCAGCCATACCACATGACCCAGCATTAGGTTTGCTCTCGGGGGAAGCTTAGGACAGCGCCGAGAGGAGGAGGGGCTGAACGACTACTTTGAGAGACCCTCATCCACAGGTCCTTACACTCCATAGGTTCACATGTCATTTCATCTAGCTCTCTGTTTTTCTTTTTTTTAACTTATGAAATATTTGACATTCAAACAGATATGAAAATAATACAATACACACCCATATACTTACTATTCAACTGAAGAATTATTTTTTTACAAATAGTCTTCCTCCTTTCCTTTTCTGCTTCTTCCCTTCCTCCTCTTCCTTCCCTGCCTCTCCCCATTCTCATCTTTATACTGTCTTGAATTTCTCAGGCATTATTGGTGTATTTTTATAGGTTTGTATATGTGCATGTATCCTTAAACATGTGGCAACTTTTGTATGTTTTTAAATCTTATATAAGTGAAATATAGATGAGATAAACTCTATAGAAATGAAATCAAGGGAATGATGAACATGGGATTTGAGATGGAGGTTGCCTTGGCATCATAAATTTTAGATCGGGTGATAGGTTTAACAAACCTTAATACATTATTAAAAGTAATTAAGTAGCCTTAGCTGGTGTGGCTCGTTTAGTTGGGTGTCATCCTGTGCTGGTTCATGGGTACATGCTTTGGTTGTAGGCTTAATACCCAGTAGGGAGTATGCAGGAGGCAGCCGATCCATGTTTGCCTCTCACATCAAGGTTTATCTTTCTCCCTCTCCCTTTCTCTCTCTAAAAATAAATAAAAATATTTAAAAAGTAATTAAGTAAATAAATATAGAAGTAAGAGCACCATTCATAGACTAATGATGAGTGTCTCATGGAGTGAGTTAGGATTAATCCAATTCTGTGCACTCAAGAGCAAAACAGCAATGATAACAACAGGTAGGCAATATACTATCTGTATATATCTACATCTTCTATCTTTCTCACAATAAGATTTGTGAGATTCATCCATGTCAATATATGAAGCTGTTTATTAATTTTTACCTCAATTTCTCCTGCCAGACTAGACCTTCTCCAAAAATCCCCTCAGGGCTAAGTTAACCTGCCCAAATTTACAACAAAACAACTCCCAGTGGTACTCCAAAACAGTGGCAGTGTTAACATCCTGATGTACCTAAGCGCCAATTCTCCCAGTTCCCACTCTCTATGTACCTTTAACAAAAAGCCTTCTCTTCCTTCCCACGTAGGACTTGATTCGGAGAGACATCCTGTACTACAAAGGCCGCATTGACATGGATAAATATGAGGTAGTCGACATTGAAGATGGCAGAGATGATGACTTTAATGTCAGCATGAAGAATGCCTTCAAGCTTCACAACAAGGAGACTGAGGAGGTACATCTATTCTTTGCCAAGAAGCTGGAGGAGAAGATACGCTGGCTCAGGGCTTTCAGAGAAGAGAGGAAAATGGTACAGGAAGATGAAAAAATTGGTAAGTGACTTCAGAAGAGAAAGAAGAATGTGGTTCTAAAAAACATAGAGGATTTGAAATAGTTTTCATTGTTCTAAAGGCAAAAGGAAGATTTATGTTGCAAACTGACTTAATCCACTTCGTTGGTTTCCTATTATTAGGTGCTTTTTGGCAGATACCAGTAGTTTCCATTTGTTAGGGTTTAGTGAGTTATAGGTGAGCTTCCTCTACAGTCTCATTACTAGATAAAACTATTTTTTTATCTTTATTGTTCAAAATATTATAGATGTCCCCTCTTTTTCCCCCATTGTCCCCTCTACCCAGTTTTCACCCCTCCCCAGGCCTTCACCACCCTATTGTCAGTGTCCATGGGCAATGCATATATGCATGTAAGTTCTTTGGTTAATCTCTTCCCACTCCCCCCACCTCCCTTCCCTCTGAGATTGGTCTGTCTGTTCTGTGCTTCCATGCCTTTGGCTCTGTTTTATTTATGAGTTTATTTTATTCATTAGATTCCACATATAAGTGAGATTGTGTGATACTTATTTTTCTCTGACTGGCTTATTTCACTTAGCATAATACTCTCCAGGTCCCTCCATGCTTTTTCAAAGGGCAGTCGAGCTTTCTTTATTACAGCTGCATAGTACTCCACTGTGTAAAGGTACCACACGGAAAGCAAACCTCAGACTAGATTCTCTCAAACATATGAACATTCACCAGCAAACCAACACGAAAGCAGTCATGCAGCCTATTCTGTAATCTCAGCGCCGTCTCAGTTCTGCTCTTAGACACATGGCAGACTCTTCTGTGAGAGGTTAGTCAAGGCAGATTTGGTAATATTACAGTGACAGGATGCAGCTGACTTTCTGATCAAAGTCTGGTGACAGAGTCTTCTTATGAGGGTCCAGGCATAGCACCTATTGTCAGTTTTAAGCTTTAGGCTTCCCTCTGAAGGGTATAGGCTGCAGGACTTACTGGATTCTTCTGCCCAGTTTTGTTGAGGACTAAGGTGCCTGGAGAACATTTGTGGCCACTGCACATCTTTTCTAACATTCACTTTACCAACATAAGTTCATTTGTAACACGTGTTGGGCTCCTTAGGCCTCAGACATTAAGACAACTGAACTGCTGGTAGTAGTAGCCTCTGTAGCAAAGATTTCTGAGTGTTTAATATTGGTCACAAATCACCTCTTGAGTATACATTCCTGATTAGGGCACTTGAAATATTAACTAAATGATCCTAGAGTATAGATGACAATCAATGTACATGTATATGTCACAAACTCTGTGTGAAATATTTTAAAGTAAATTATAGAATAGGGTCTAAAATCACAACCACTTGCATGATTTATATTCATGCTAAACCATACTCTTTTGCATGAAAGAGGTTGTTCCCCTTTTCCAGAGATGATATGGCTGGGAGAGATACTGTTTTTGTTTTGTGTTTTATCCTCAGCCGAGGACATTTTTCCATTTTTTGTTCAGATAGAGTGGGAGGGAGGGAGAGAGAGAGAGAGAAACATCAACGTGAAAGGGACACATCGAGTGGCCGCCACCCGCACGACCCTACCAGGGCTGGGGACAAACTGCAACTGAGGTACATGCCCTTAGCGGGAACCGAACCCGGGTCTCTCTGGACCGCAGGCCGATGCTCTAACAGCTGAGCCAAACTGGCCAGGGCAGAGATACTGTTTTCATGCTGCTTCCCAAATGGGAGTTAGGTTTCATTGGCTGTAGTTTTGTGGTTTACAAAGTACTGTCAGGCTCTTGCCCATTGTCCTGCGTTTCTGGCCTAAAAACATAAAATTATAAAAATCCAGTCTTTGTAATTCCCTAAAAAAAAAAAAATAGTTTCTGTTTTTACACCACTCCTAATGGGAGTAGAATTGTACCTTAAAACACTTGTACACTCAGGTTTGTAGCAACTGCCTCTAGAACAAAGAGCCTCCCCACTGAGTCCTGGTACAAGTGGATTCTCCTGTCCTTCAGTGCGGGGGTTGAAATGGTCCAAAGGCAAGGCAGTGTAATCAGAAAGACACTGTTTAGTCTCATCCTAGTCTTCTCAGGTCTTGGGTACAATGCATATTGATAAGTCACTTTGAGTTCCATTGGTGTCAAATTGCTTTTAGCATCTGGGCACTGCTTTGGGACATGATGTGGAGTGGTTCAAAAATGCTGCTGGTTCTCCCAGTGGTAGGCAGCAGCAGTCTTTGACATTGCCTAGGTTGTTAGAGCTATTAAAGGAATTTTCTCAGTGTGCTCTCTAAAGCCCCTAGATCAACTTGAAAATCTCCTCCACTGCCTCTGGTTCAAACATGACGTCTCACACACAATGTCCTAATGACCTGTAACTTTGAGAATCTGCTTCTAATATAGCAGTTCTCAACCTGTGGGTCGCGACCCCTTTGGGGGTCGAACGACTCTTTCACAGGGGTCGCCTAAGACATAACAGTAACAAAATTACAGTGATGAAGTAGCAACGAAGATAATTTTATGGTTGGGGGTCACCACAACATGAGGAACTGTATTAAAGGGTCACGGCATCAGGAAGGTTGAGAACCACTGCTCTAATAGAAAAGCTTCCAGAGGTTGATTCCTGGCAGGCCTGTGTTCATCTTTTAAAAACGAAGTTTTTCAGATTATAACATTAAATTACTTTCCTTGTAGACTTTCATTTATAGACCAGAAAAAAAAAACCAAACAAACAAACAAACAAACAAAAAGATAAAACTAAAAACCACATGTGAACACACAGAGCTAACTTTTATAAACATTATAATATATTTTCCCATTTTTCTATGATAAATTAAACAAACTATCATGGCTAAATTTTTTTTTCTATCATCTCCCCGCTGCCTCTCCTGATGAATAGATAGAATTTTATTTTTATGGTTTTTAGAGAGATATAATTTTTATCATTATTTTCACTTAAAATTATATCATTATCATTTCCCTAAATTATTTAAAATTTTAATCATTATTCTATGGCTGTCATATGGATTTACCATCATTTTTATGTTTATTGTTTTTACCTTTTAATTATAAAATATATACATGGTCATAATAACGATTTAAACACTTATGGATGTGTAGTAAAAAAAAGTTTAGAACTTTTTTTTCTTCTCTGTCAATCCTATGCTGTGTGAGATAATCAGTATTAATTTGGTATACCTCTTTCTATACTTAGCTAATGCTTATATAAACACATATACACATCAGACTTTTACCTTTTTATTTACCAAAATTATACATATTACTCTGTAACTTGCTGTTTTAAAACTTAATTAATCATAAGTAACTCTCCAGGTGAAGAATGTAAAATCTTAATATAATTCTTTTTTAAAATTTTTATTAATTTATTTTTGTTACAGAGGTTTCTCCTTTTTTCCCCATTGACACCCTCCTCCCCATCCCTCCCACCCCGTCCCCAGCTTTGTTGTCCGTGTCCATTGGTTATGTGTACATGCATATAAGTTCTGTGGTTTATCCCCCCTCCACACTCTTCTGAGGGTTGTCAGTCTGTACCCTACTTCCACATCTCTGGGTCTACCCTATTCCTCAGACTGTTATGTTCATTATATTCCACAAATAAGTGAGATCATGAGATATTTGTCTGGCTTGTTTTGCTTAGGATAATACTCTCCAGGTCTCTCCATGTCGTCTCAAAAGATAAGAGATCTTTCTTTCTTACAGCTGCATAGTACTCCATTGTGTATATATACCACAGCTTTTTTGTCCATTCATCTACTGATGGACACTTGGGCTGTTTCCAGATCTTAGTTGTTGTAGATAGTGCTGCTACTAACATGGGGGTACATATATTCTTTCTGATTGGTGTTTCAGGCTTCTTAGGGTATATTCCTAGAAGTGGGATCACTGGGTCAAATGGCAATTCAATTTTTAATTTTTCGAGGTAACACCATATTGTTTTCCATAGTGGCTGCACCAGTCTGCATTCCCACCAGCAGTGTATGTACAAAAAAAAAAAAAAGACCTACAGCCAATATCATAATCCATGGGCAAAAACTAAAATCATTTCTCTTAAGAACAGGAACAAGACTTTCACCACTTTTATTTAACATAGTACTGGAAGTCTTAGCCACAGTAATCAGACATGAAGAAAAAATAAAAGGGGTCCAAATTACTATAACTCTTTATATCAGTCAGAGTTCAACCAGAGAAGCATAACCAATAGGAGATTATTAAGATATTTTTTTTTAATAAGGAATTGGCTTATGTGATTGTGAATCCTGGTTGAGCAACTCCAAAATGGTAGAGCAGGTAGTCAGGAATGACAATCATGGACAAGCTCAAACTCATGGACATAGGCCAAAACTGTCATCTGTAGACAAGAAGGTCATGAGAAGGATGGAACTTCAGGTACATGGACTAAAGTTGTGAGTCAGAATTTCTTATTTTTCAGAGTGGGGAGACCTCAGCCCTGCTTTTAGCCCTGCTTTTTTTTTTTTTTAAGTGGTAGAGACAATGACCATGAACTCTATGTTCTTCACAAATTTTAAGTGCATGATATAGTAACATAAACTGTAGAATCGGTGTTGTACAGCAAATCTCTAAAACTTAGTCATATCTTGAGTAAATAGAAATTTATACCTATTCAACGACAACTCCCCATTTTCCCCTCCAGCTAGCTTCTGGGAATCACCATTTTATTCTGTATATCTATGAATTTGACCTCATATATAGTTTATATACCTCATATAAAAAAATCGCTCTCTCCAGTTAGGCTCAGTGGTTAGTGTAGGCCTGTATACCAAAGAGTCGTGGGTTTAATTCCAGCCTAAAATTCATGTAGAATATAAAAAGGCCCATAATAACTAAAGGTATCTAAGAGAGAACAGAGCTGAAGGCATCACTCTTCCTAATTCAAAATATATTCCAAAGCTACAATAATTAAGATAGTGTGGTACTGTTCTGGCTGGTGTGGCTCAGTTGGTTGGGCATTGTCCAATGCACCAAAAGGTTGCTGGTTTGATTCCTAGACTGGGCACATGCCTGGGTTGCCGGCTGAATCACCTTGGGGGTAAGGGGCATGCAGGAAGTAGCTGATCGATGTTCTGCTTTCACATCAGTGTTTCTTTTTCTCTCTCCCTCTCCCTTCCTCTCTCTCTAAAAATCAGTAAAAATATTTTTAAAAAACAGTATGGTAGTACCATAAAGACAGACATATAAACTGTGGAAATAGGATAGAGAGCCCAAAATAAACTTACATGTATAAGTCAACATGTCTTCACGAAGGGTGCCAAGAATACAAAATAAGGAAAGGATGGTTTTTTCAAAAAATGGTGCTGGGGCCCTGGCCCGTTTGGCTCAGCGGTTAGAGCGTCGGCCTGCAGTCCAGAGAGACCCTGGGTTTGGTTCCCGCTAAGGGCACGTACCTCAGTTGCAGTTTGTCCCCAGCCCTGGTTGGGTCATGTGGGTGGCAGCCACTCGATGTGTCCCTTTTACGTCGATGTTTCTCTCTCTCTCTCCCTCCCACTCTATCTGAACAAAAAATAGAAAAATGTCTTCGGGTGAGGATAAATAAAAAATGGTGCTGGTATCAACATGCAAAAGGATGAAATCAGACTTCTAGGGTAAAAGCTTCCTGACTTTTATCTTGGCAGTGATTTCTTGAATATGATACCAAAAACATAGGCAACAAAACAAAAATAGACAAGTGGAACTACATTAAACTGAAATACTTCTGCACAACAAAGGAAATAATCAGTTGAATGAAAAAGCAACATGTGGAATGAGAGAAAATGTTTCAAACTGTATATCTGATAAGAAGTTAATTTCCAAAAAATATAAGGAACTCCTACCACTCAATAGCAGAACACCAAATAACTCAATTGAAAAAATGGACAAAGGACTTGCACAGGTGTTTCTGTTATTTCATTAATTGCTTTTTGCCATTTGATTTTTTTTTTCCCTCCTTCTGGAACTTTTGTTATCTCTGTATACATTTTATAATGTAATTTCTTACATTTTTACACATTCTTTTTGTATTTTTGCCTTTGGTTGTGAATTCTTTTTTCCATTTTATATCATATTTTATTTAACCAATCTCCACTTACCAGCCTTATAACTCATATTCTTTTATTTCCCCCCGCTTTATATTGTGAAATGCATCTTTGTAGCTAAATATTTGTCCAAGTTTCTGACTGCTTTCCTTTTTCACTTTTCAAGACCTTTGAGGCCCTGGCCAGGTAGCTCAATTGGTTAGAGCATTGTCCTGATGTGCCAAGGTTGCAGGTCCGATCCCTGGTCAGGGCACATGCAAGAATCAACCAATGAATGCATAAATAAGTGGGACAATAAATCAATGTTTCTCTCTCTGTATCTCCCTTCCTCTCTTTCTCTAAAATCAATAAATATGATTTAAAAAGAGAGACTGTTGATATATCTTGCCAAAATTACTCTTCCAGGAACATACTAATTTATATATTTAAGAAAGGTTTATGTTTCTCCTAACAAAATCATGTGTTTTTATGTTTCTAGGCTTTGAAATTTCTGAAAATCAGAAGAGGCAGGCTGCGATGACTGTGAGAAAAGTCTCTAAACAAAAAGGTAAAGCTGCCTTTCACCAACACTCCCCCCACCCCACTCCCTGCCCCACTACTCACTCTTGTTGTGAGGCTGGGAAGCCATAGGCTATGTGCTTTCGTATTCCTAGGCTTATTTCCACACTGACGTTTACTCGGGGGTGGTGGAGTTTCCAGGTTCCCATGTGTCCCTGTTTGTTTGTGACAAATGGTCTTACAGGATTAAGTTTGAGGAATGGATAATGTAAGGTAGTTATGTCCAAAGATAGCTCATTGGGTACAGGAAAAAAAAAATAGAACCTCTTTTTTATTTTTATTTTTACTTAAATGAGAGAGAGAAACTAAAGTTTACTAACAATTTAGAGACTGGTGGACAATAAAAATGTGTAGGATTTATCGGTAAGTATAAATATATTAGGGAAATGTGCAGACCTTTCTTTCATTGGTTTGGAGACATTTGGCACATCAAGAATCCCAAATCACAGTGAAGAACTTCAAACTGAATCAAGGAGATTCAAATATTCATTCTATCTCTTTCTTACAAAATACCTTGAAATTCAATTTGAATACGAAATGAAGCCCTATTTTTTTGTTTCCATGAACTACACAAAATTAAAATGCTTAGTTGAGTAAAGCGAAGGAACTACCTTCTGTTTATTTGAGAGCCTATTCACTCCCAGTCATTTTACATAAGTTCTTTTGTTTTATCTTTATGGAACCCCCGAAAAGGCAGGCATTGTTAGCCCCATTTTCTAGGTGAAGGAACTGAGGATCTTCTGGGTGAGGTAACTCTGAACCTAAGTCAGCTTGACTGTAAGTCCCCTTCTCTCTACCTAGGAGTCTGCTGATTTTCCATTTTGAGAAAGAACAGCTCACTTTTTTTTTTTTTTTAGTCTCACCTCAATTACCAACAAATGCTTATATTACTGACAGCCACTGTTATTGTCCCCAGGGGTGGGCAATCTTACTGAGACCTCAGTTTCCCCAGGCCATTCCTTCTGCTTTCTCAGTGGGCTCTTGCTCAGAATGAGTCACCGTACCAAATGATCAGATTCAAGTTGCCTGAAATTCCAGAAGTCACATAAAGCACTCCTAATTACTCCTGATGACACACTTTTTCATTGAGGAGGCTGAGTGCCTCTGAATATCTGATTTCCAATTAAGCAGTGTACCTAGCTGCAGCCCCTCTAGCTAGGCATGACCATCCTTTTAACTGCTTATTGCTTCGTATCCTTGGGTGGCCCTCCTTGGCTCTTTCCCTCATCATGTAAATGTGATTCTTGTTAGATATGGGATTAAAGGTAACCACTCCTAACCTCTTGGGGGCGAAATTGTGACGGATAATGTTAGAAAGCAGTCTGAAGTCACTGTCAGTAAAGATATGATCTGTATGAATAGAAGAACCCTGTGAGGGAATATGCCCCATCTTTAGACAGATATGAGCAGAGAAAAAGAGCCCCAGGCAAGTGGAGAGTGCTCAGGCTGAAAAGGGGCTACGGTCCTAGTGGCCCACCTCTGTCTCCTGGAGGCTCTCACTTCCTGAGCTTCTCTTTTTGATTTCCTTCACTGTCCTCACCATAATGACCTTCATGCTGGGATAGTGCCCCTTTACCTCGGCCTAGGGTCCCTGAAGCTTGTCTGAGACTGGCTGGTCTTTTGATTGAGAACCCTTAAAGCCTGGGAAAAATCCACAGATCAAGCAACCAGAAAACAGTCCTGCTCAGTCATACCAAGCCTTTGTGTTAGTTCCCCCCACCCCATCTAGTCTCAACCTATACCTTTCAGGTCCTCTCTTGTCTCCCAGTATCTAAACACAGGTTCCCCTGGATAGCTTTCCACCTTTAGTAGCAATCTTAAAGACTTCAAAGAAACTCATCTAGTTTCAGATGTCCCAGAATTCTATGAATCTCTTCCCTTGTTTCTATTTCTGGTCTTCACGACTCTCCTATTCCAGGGCTATGCCGACTGATGTATTTTGAGAATCAAAGGTACTACATATGTGGAAGTAGTTGTCAAACTTAGTAATTTAGTAGTTATATACATGGGAAGAGCAGGAAGGGAGTTCTTTCAGATACCAATGAAAGCTAGCTTCCTTTACCATCCCAATGACTCCTTCCTGAAAGTGATGGGGAAGCATTGTTGTTAAGATTTCTCTAATGCAATGTAATTGGATAGGTAGTTATTCTAGGGTCCCTTTGAAACCCCATTTGTAATGCCGTGGAACCTTCTCCACTCAGTCTACTGCTCTGGAGGACAGAGCCTACCTCTAAGGAAGGCCTTTTCATTTTACAATTGTCTTTCATACTACCTTGCTTTTAAGAATTGATATATAACTTCTTGAGAGTTGTATGCTACTTCCTAATCCATCAAACTATTTTAGCCTGTTGTCATAGAACTTCCTAGAGCCATGAGCATAGCCCTGATCTCCAGAGGTTTTGGGATCAGCTCAAAATCAGATGAGTACACTAGAATAATTAAAATAATCTTGAAAAAGAAGAATAAATTTGGAGTAATCAGTCTACCCTGATTTCAATGTTAATTATATAGCTACAGTAACCAAGACAGTATGGTGTTGACAGAGGGATAGACATATTAGCTCAGTGGAACAGAATAGAGAACCCAGAAATAAACCTACACAAATTCATACAACCGATTTTTGACAGAAGTGCTAAAGCATTTCACTGGAGGAAGGATAGCCTTTTCAATAAATGGTGCTGAAACAATTGGATTTCCATAGGGCAAAAATAAAAAGAGACCCTCAAACTAAACTTACACCCTATAAAAATTAACTCAAAATGGATAAATAATTCAAATTTAAAACTACAAAATTTTAGAATTAATAAGAGGAAATCTTTAGGATCTAGGGCTAGGCAGAGAAGTTCTTAGACTTGACACCAAAATCTTGAACCACAAAATGAAAAATTGATAAAATAGACTTCAACAAAATAGAAAATTTTGCTCTGTGACAGATTATGTGAAGAAGATGAAAAGACAAGCTACAGGCTAGGAAAAAATGTCTGCAAACCACATATGTGAGAAAACACTAGTATCTAGAATATATAAAGAACACTTGAAACTCAACAGTAGAAAACTACCTATTCCAATGAGAAAATAGACAAAATAAAAACATATTTCACTGAAGAGGATATATGGATAGCTGTTAAACATATGTAAAGATGTTCAATATCATTACTTATTGGAGAAATGCAAATTAAAATGGCAATGAGATATTATTGCATATCTATTAGAAAGGCTGAAATAAAAAAAAATAATAACACCACCAAATGCTGGCAAGGATGCAGAAAAATTGAGTCATTTATACCTTCCTGGTAAGAATGTATAATGATGTAACCACTCTGGAAAATAATTTGGCACTGTCTTAAGATATTAAACATACAACTGCTTTATGATCCAGCAATTACACTCTTGGACATTTATTCCAAAGAAATGAAGACTTATTTCCACATAAAAACTTCTAATCAAATGTTCATAGCAGCTTTGTTCATAATAGCCCAAACTGGAAACAACTGAGATGTCCTTCATTGTGTGAAAATTAAGCAAACTGGTACATTTATACCATGGAATATACTTATCACTAAAAAGGAACCAGGTAGAGAGGTACATGCAACAACTTTGGTGAATCTCAAAGTAATTATGCTAAGTGAGAAAGCCAGTTGCTAAGGGTTGCATATTGTATGACTCCATTTATATAATGTTTTATTATATTTTATAAATAGGGAATAGATTAGTGATTGCCAGCGGATAGTAAGGGGGTGGGGTCAGGAAAGGAGTAAGTGTGGTTACAAAACAGTAACAAGAGTGATCCTTGTGACTATAGAAATGTTCTATCTCTTGACCGTGTTTGGTAACAATGGCAGTATCCTGGCTGTATTATTGTACTATAGTTTTGCAAAATGTTATTATTAGAGAAAATGAATAAAGGTACAAAGCATACCTCTGTATTTTCTCTACAACTACATGCAAATTTACAATGATCTCAAAATAAAAAGCTTATTTGAAAATTACAAGTGAGCACTCACCAAACTCCCTAATATCTTCATATTGTTTGTTGGCATCCAGTACCCTCATATTTATGACATTACCTTTGAAACTGTTTGAGGATGTCATCAAAATGGCAGAATAGTTTGCTTCTGTCCTCCCCCTAAAGAACACTGATTTTGACAAAGACCCACAGATGAAAGTAATTTTTTCCAAGTGTAGAAGTCCAGCAGAGAGGTTCCAGATCACCACTGGAGAAAAATAAAATCCACTGTTGGACACGTAGAAGCCAGTTAATAAAGACTGAAGGAGTTGACTACTTCTTTTTTAAAAAACATATTTTTATTGATTTTCTTTTAGAGAGGAAGGAAGGAGAGAAAGAAACATTGATCAGCTGCCTCCTGTACACCCTGTACTGGGATCGAGCTGGCAACCCAGGAATGTGCCTTCACTGGGAATCGGCTTGGTAACCTTTTGGTGCATGGGACAATGCCCAACCAACAGCCACACTGGCCAGTGCATGACTACTTGTAAAGATAGCAATGGCAGACTACAAGGAATATGCAAATCAAGGAAATGTTACATCACCAAAGAAACAATATTTTCTAGAAACTGACCCCCCAAAATATGGAACCCCCCAAAAATATGGAGATCTGTGGTTTGCCCATTAAACAATTCAAAATAGTTTTAAGGAAGCTCAGTGAGCTACAAGAAAACACAGAAAGACAATTCAACACAATCAAAACAGTTCATGAACAAAACAATAAATTGAGCAGAAAATAGAAATTTTAAAACAAATTATAGAGCTGAAGAATACAATGAATAAAATGAAAAATGCAACAGAGAGTTATCAACAACAGACTTGATCAAGCAGAAGGAAGAATCCGAAGTCAAACACAGGTCATTTGAAATTGTGCAATCAGAGTAGAACTAAAAAAAAAAAAGGAATGAAAAAGAGTGAAGTAAGCCTGTGCAAATTACGGGGTAAAATTAAGAGAGACAATCTATAAAATATTGGATTCTCAG